TCTGTCGAGAGATAGCCGGAATGGCTGTTTCCTCCACCTAGTCGGAGGGGGAGTTTGTTGGTTTTCCTCCTAGTGGGGAAACCAATTTGGGTTTGGTTTAAGAAAAACCAAACTTGGGCCTATTATGATCCATGAGATTGTTATTGGGTTAAGGGTTATGAGGGACTATATATATGACTCCAAACCTAATTTTGATGAAGAGAGAAACTAATTGAAGAGAGGCCATTTTCGTAGGTTAAGAAGGAGAAAAACAGTTTCGTCAAGGTTTGTTCAATACAACGTTTGGAGGCCTAAACGTGCTCCGATTTGGCTAAAATTTTGGTGTTAGTTTCGTGAGTCAGTGGTCTTGATATTCAACGGTGAAGATTGTATTTCAACGGTTGGTTCGTCGCAGATCTGGGTTTTAACGAGCCTGTTCGGTGTTGTTGCGAGTTCAGATTTCAGACTGTGTTATCTTGAGTGTTTGGGAAATCCGACGGTGAAATCTTCTTGGATTGAGCTGAAATTTGGCAGAGATATTTCTGACTTGTTTATCTAGGATTTGTACGGTGGAGATCTGATTTGGTGATCGAATCCTAGTGAATTTAGGGTCATTTGGGACTGTTTGTTTCTAGACTCTTGTATTACTCTCTTGTGGTGTTTCTTGTGTTGGAGATTGCTCTTTGGAGCCTTAGTCTCTGGATCTGTTTTTTGGGAACAGGAAGGACGTGGTTGTAACTCAAATTTGATCTAGTGGATTTTTGAGTGGACTACGGTCCGTGGTTTTTATTTCTCACATCGAGGAAGTTTTCCACGTAAAATAATTCGTTGTCTCATTTACTTTACTGCTTTGATTTGCTGCTGCCGTATTCTATATTTTTCTCACATGTTCACATAAGTGTGAGAAAATTTATTCCGCTGCGCTATTGGTGCTTATTTTTTTTCCCCAACAGAGTACCACAACAGATCTTGAAGAGACATGCATCAACCGACCCACCTAGATCCACTCGATCGATCCGACCATGATAGGGATTCAAGAAGCCTAGATCGATTGATCCCCTTTCTTTTAGTTGATCCATATATTCGATCTAGATCTATTTTCTGCACAAAACTTGGTTTGTCCCAGATTGTCTTGGATACATTTACTATTCCTTATGTATAGTTTTAAGCACATCAAAACCTAAGTTTTATCAGATCTTTTTTATCCTTTGTGCAAAACAAAAAACCCTTGGGTTCTTTGGATGTTTTGAAGAAAAAGTCTTCATATTTTATGTTTATTTAGTGTTTTCTCTTAAATTCTTTATTGTGTCATTGTTTACTTATGCTTTTGTTGTTTTCATGATGATTAGTGAATAGTTTCCTTAGTGGATTACGGGTAGAGCAGATTAGGGTTGTTTGATGTGTGATTAATTATGCTTAGGTTTTGATCTATTTGATTTCCCATGATTTTGAGTGAACTTAGCTAGGATTGGAGTAATTAACCAAAACTTTGATCAAGGTATTTTTTATGCACATAGGTGGTTGTGAAAATATCTAAACCAACTCTAATCATGCTTTTCATAACCTAGTCAATAGAAGTTGATGTCTAGGATGATTAGTAGAGTAATATGCACTTCTTCTTTTTTTGATAAAAGACTAATATATATGCATATTAGAAAGGGATATTATTCTAAATTTGTTAATCTCTATGCGGAAGCTGGAGATGATTAGGCAGTTTAGAAAGGGATTAGTGTCATAGAAGTGGATTAGTTTAGTTTAAATAGATCCATGTCTTGAAATGGTTAATTGTATGATTTATCATCATAATTTACATGTTAAAACACCCGGTAGTCTATAATAGCTACCCAAAGTCCATGCCTCTATCGATATTTGATCACCTTTGGTTAATTTTTTTGACTTTTTGTTG